AAACTCCTGAAGGACCTGAGGCAAATTGTACTCACATCATGATACAAAATTATCACTCATGTACGTTCCTGTCTATGAACTTCCTGTATTCGTATGTTAGGCGCTGATAGGTCTGGTCCTCTAGGCCGCGAGAACCCACGTCAGGGCGGCTTCACGGATGTCCAGTGTTTACGATATGAGTATCAACCCGACACACTTCGGGCTTAGTACAGGCACACTTTCTGGAAAAGCCGCAGCCTCCGAAGAAGTAGTGCAAGGCTCACTGCTGAGTACCCGTGCGATAACGTGTCGCCAGTCAACAAGCACGTGTAGAAAGGGAGGAAGTGGCCAAGATCATACCTGCAAAGCATACGGCACGTGGCGGATGATCGCGTAATAGCGTTGTACAATCGCATAGCATTCGTTAAGATCTGGTCGCTACTAAGGTCCGGATGGCTTCCAACGCTGGCAAGGACCTGTCTAGTTCGGCGACGCACTTACGAGCGACGTCTTCATAGTATCTAACCGCATTTGAATGATCTTTGACCTTCTCCTCCAACAATATTTGGGCGCTGCTCAAACGCTCGTTTTCAGCTTCGAGAAACTGCGCACGTTGAGATTTTGCATGCAAGGCGTCCCTTGTCTGATTAAGTTGAATGGATAGGTATTCATTCTCCTGTCGAAGTTGCTGAATTATAGTGGTGAAGTTCTCATTCGCACTAGATAGCTGCATCGCGTCAAGAGGCTTGCCGTTGACATACCAGGCAGTACGTACCGAGACCGGGGCGCTCGGCCGATTGGGGGGCTCTCTTGCCACAGCTTCGAAACCCTTTCCTACCTCGCTAGAAAGAAGGCGATATGTCCCAATAGAATGCTCACTCAAATTTTTTGAAAGGATAGATGCATAGAGTCCTTCATTTCCAGGCAGTATTTTCCAAAAATATGGGTCTTTCGGTCTGGGGTTCAGTCGTACTTCCGTTGGCTGCACCTCGAAGCCCAATTTATCTCCTGAGTTCGTTAGTTGTCGGTTCGACTTCTTTGGCTATAAGGCCTCACGTATGTGTTTGGCTAACTCCACGCGACATTCGTCCCGTAGACGCCGGCGATCTTCATTGCTTTGTCGAGACAATGACATGTTAAACCTTGATCAGGCGTACTGTACATAACACTAACATTACAGCAGGTTGGGGGACGAGGCGGCTAGTCTGTCTTGTGCCGTATGACCAAGACCGCTCGAGAGTGAAAAAAGGCTTCGTCGACAATCATCGAATTCTGCAGCCTGCCAATCAAAGCGGGCTCTTCGGCCGCTTTTCCAACTGCTAGCCTGTGGGCCGTTTCGTGATGCTCGGTTGGTAGAGTACAGTAGTTCTCTATCTTTCACCTTCGTGCCGAGGGCAGTGCCACTGAGCGATGCCGAGTGCCAGATCCTGGCAAAACTGCCCGCCAGACGGGGCCGAGGGCCTCCAATGGATGTGGGCTCGCCACGACGACTCAACGGAAGTACAGCGACAGTACAATAGTTAGTCAGATTCTGGCTTTGTGCCACGCCAAGTGAAGCGCGTCTCAACAGTGACTACGGTTCCGTCGCGGGGCGCATCGAACCAGAAAGAGGCATCACAATCTCCAGGACCGGGTGCCAAATCGGTTGCGATGCTGGGTTAAGCTGTGCAACCCGCTCGTGGAGGCTGACCACATTGGTGGACAGCGAAGTTGTATGCTCAGCACAGTGGTGTGCTTCGTGTCCGAAGTGGGTGTCATAGAAAGAGGCTGTCGTGAGAAGAGGCTGTCGTGGAAGAGGCTGTCGTAAGAAGAGGGTATCGGCAAGCCAGAGGAGGGTGTCACAAGAACATGTCTCGCCAGGGTCAGGGAAGGTGGTGTTGTCGAGAGGTGGTGTCGCCAGGGGACAACAGAGGGTGTTGCCAGGAGTAGGTGTCAACAGGGGACATCGAATTGGTGTTGTCACAAAAGGATGTCGGGAGGGGGCGAGAAGAAGGTGTCGCCAGAAGTGGGTGTCGCCAGGGAAAGGGAAAGGGTAGTGTCTCCAGGGACCAGAAGAGGGTGTTGTGAAAGATGGTGTCGCCAAGGGACGAAAAGACGGTGCCAGCACAAGGTGGAGTCACCAGGTGAAGGCGGTGTCGTCAGCAGCCTGGACGCGAGTGTTGCTCGAAGGTTGTGTCTGCAGGGAATGAGAAGAGGGTGTTGTCAAGGTGTAGCCAAAATTGGGTGCTGCCAGGGCCTCACAGGATGGCGTCGTCATCAAAAGTGGTTGGAGACAGGGGACGATATGAGGGTGTTGGCAGATGGTCATGTAATGCACCGGTGGCGCGAGGGCCCCTTACCATGTGACAAAATGATCCAGAACTGCGGCCGGCTCTCATGTGAAGCTTGCAGGACGAGTGGTTAGAAGCATGCACGCTTGCAGGACGCGTGGTGTGAAGCCTGCAGGCTTGAGGGACGAGTGGGGTGAAGCTCGCAGGATGAGACGTGTGAAGCAAAAACGGCTTCTAGGTCGACGGGTGCGAAGCGCGCAGGATGAGTGGTGTGAAGCATGTACATGCTTGCAGGATGTGTGGTGTGAAGCTTGCAGGATGTGTGGTGTTAAGCCTGGAGGGTGCCAGGACGAGTGGTGTGAAGCATGTAGGCTTGCAGCAAGTGTGGTGTGCAGCTCGCGGAACGAGTGGTGCGAAGCAAAATCGGCTTCCAGGACGAGTGGTGTGCAGCTTGCAGAACGAGCGGTGTGAAGCATGCAGGCTCGCAGATATGTGGTATGAAGCTCACAAGACGAGTGGTGTGAAGCAAAATCGGCGTCCGGAAAGTGTGGTGTGAAGCTCGCAGGCCGTGTGGTGTGAAGCATGTAGGCTTGCAGGACGTGTGGTGTGCAGCCAAATCGGCTTCCAGGAAGTGTGGTGTGAATCTCGCAGGACGAGGGGTGTGAATCATGCAGGCTCGCAGGATGTATGTGTGTGAAGCATGTAAACCAGCAGGACGTGTGGTGTGCAGCTAAATCGGCTTCCTGGACGAGTGGTGTGAAGCTCGCAGAACGTGCGACGCAAAGTTGTCTCCCCTGCTCGCCGGCCAATCCAGCTCATGCCCATCTCAGCTTCGTGATGAGGGATCCCCGCGTCTTGGTTCTGGTGAAACTGCCGGAGGTCACCGGAGACAACGAATCAATGCGGGCTTGTAACGGGACGAAACGTCAACTGCACAGAGCATACGCTCTAACGATGCGCACATAGGCGGTAACAGTTGCAGCACCTCAACACACCAGCATCGCTAGACCCTACATTATCACCACAGCATGTGATGGTTTGGCTTCGGGGCTGGCTCTGCGTATATTACTGTAGTGCAGGCCTGGTTACTTCGTAGTTTCCCTCTTTTACTGTAGTGTAGGACTCGCCCCATTACCTCGGAACTTCCCTCGTCACTGAGCACTGCAACAGATAATACAAACTAACGACCAAAATGAACACGCGATCACTGCAGTCAACGCAAAACCTGTCACAAAAGGCCGCGTTTCAAATCAGTGGTGGCATGACGCATTCGCAACAACCCGCCGTCCCAGTGATCAACCACCGAAGTGCATATTTGAACAACCTTTGGGACTCTTCACGTGGCTTGAAAGACCCGACAAGGCACCATCGTGTCGCTCCTGGGGGGCAAACTTACCAAGCAGACCATTACGCTGGAGCCCAAAGTCATGCGGCTCGTGCTTCGGTCCAGGTCCAGCAACCGGCGCCCAATTTCAGGCATGGAGCTCCCGTGCCGCAGGGATACACAGTAATCAGTCAGCAGGCTAATGCAAAATACGGCAACACCGATTGTGGCAATCTGGGTGATCAACCCTGTGACTGTTGGGAACCATGGATGGGCAATCAGGAAGAGGGTCGCCAGATGCTTCTGTAATTGTGACCCTCACCGCAAACACCCTACAATTTCTGACTATGATGGTTTTCAGCTCGGTACCCAGGCCAGAGAACGAATCTGTGTTACATACCCGAGGCACAGGACGATTTTCAGTGCCATTGTATGGTCGACCCAATGTCCCTGCGTCCGCGCCTCGTTCGGGAATTCGATTACTGACTAGAGTGCAGATCTATCATTCCCAACGGCAACAACAAGACGTGTCCGCATTGTTCGAAACCATTCCAGGGGTATACGGACTTTCTTTTCCACATGGTGGAGTCTCACCCCGATGTATCGCCCAAAGACACAA